TTTATATGGTGATGAGGTACGGGTCCTCCTCACGGTGGAACGTAGTACTTCCAAATCCAACTCCATCGGCCGACCCGACCTCGGAGCATCTTCGAGAGAAAAGTCTCCTTTCTTGAATTTGGCGAACCAATTCTTGCATGTCATGTAAGAGATGACGTCCTCACCGTATGTATCCACCAGCTTGGTATGGGCTTCCTTTGCATTCCAGCCGAAATCGTGAAGCAAAACCAGGCAGTGGCGCAGGTACATTCTGTCACAGTGGTAATTGTGCGACATTGTGGCCTGCAAATGCAAGGTGGGTGAGTGATAGCTAGTGTGATAAAAGAGTATAATGCACACGTCACGCACACGTGATGACGAATACCAACATCCATGCAAACGAAATACGGAAGGATCAAACACGGGTTAAAAACATATGCATCAACCTAATATAGAATGAATCCGATTGTTTTTGTGATTCAAAGTTCAGATGAAATGCATCCGAGACGACGTTTGAAATAAACTTTTAACTCGGTATTCACTGATTTTTGCATTCAGCTCTGGAGAAGCACGACCTTGTGCCACCTAATGTGGACGTTGTTGTGACAACGCATGGCCATCCTGATCATGCCGGTGGGATCCATGATTTCCCTGATGCAATACACTATCAGGGATGGTACATTCATCACCATACAACATTCAATCTGAGCAGTCTCTTTGAAGTGAGTGTTACTTATCAACAGTATCTAGAGTTAGTAGTATTAGTTAGCATCAGAAGCGAAGGTAGTGATTTTCAGGGAGATCGGCATCCTCTAACGGACAATGTTCATTTGATAAGATCAGTTGGGCATTCATCCGATGATGTTGCAGTTGTCGTTAACGATGAAAAAACAATGGGTAGAGTAATAGTAGCAGGTAATTATGGCATTTAAACACAAAAAGTAATGAGCCCAGTGGAGAACTAGGGCAACACCAAAACCGATATTTATTACATGGGTAAGGTTAATTAGGCGATGTTCCGGCCACACCTTCTAAATTGTAAAAGATGGGGCGTATCCGTGAGCAAAAACACAAGTGGTCCCAGTAAGTCCGCCCACACGAATATCCTGGGATCTCTCCCCAACTAGCCGTCTATTAATGAAATTGGTTGAAATTTGCAAAGCTGAATACTCTTTTCAACCCATAGACAAGAAACACTATTATACCCAGCTCTATGTCCTAGGATACAGAGTGTTATACGCTTTATGCTCGGACTCCATTTTCCCCACAGGATTGCACTAGAGGCGTAGGAGTAGCGTTAGGGCAAACTCCAAGCCTAAACTCGCCATCGTGGTCGGCGCAGTGAGCGTCCATCATCATGAAAGGGCCCATAGAACCCTTGATGATGAGCTAGTTGTGTTGATAGGGTCTGATATGCTGGTTGTTAATATCGTAATCACCACATTGAACTCTATCGGTATAAGTAGGTTTCAATTCCAAGTTCCATAGAGAATGAAATCCTTTCCTACTCAGTGGCTGGCAGTGAACAGAGCTCAATGCGGAAAACGCAGTGCTGTGCATAAAGTTACCATTTGATCAAACATAACTAATTCACTCATTAGTGTACGAAAAAACCAATGCCTAGGTGACACATTTATGAGACGTGAAGATCTCGACTATCCGATGATGTGGAAGCCGCTGAGCGCGAACGAGACGGAGCAGGCACGATCGAGACGGAACCTGATCTGTGAGGCGGCATGGATCATTCCCGGTCATGGTGCACCTTTTCAAGTCACCCGACAAATGCGTGTACAGTTTCATTGTTGAAATGTATAGATCTTGTGGTTCAGAAGCCTTTTCTTAGGTCAGATTTCGTCTTCTCTGAACTCTTTAAACTTTACAGTAGAAGTGATTTACTCTGCTGACTTGCGAGCAACTCAGTACTGAAAAATCGAATGTCAAAAAAAATAAATAAATAGATATCATCGCAATCAGTCAGGTCTAATCGATGAGAATACTATTCTCACATGAGGCGCTCCCACCACTGGATCTTTTCTTCCTTAATTGATCACTAGGCGATCACCACTGGTAGACCGAAACAGTCGGAGGCGGGCTTATCCTGCCCTCTTCACACCGCCCCGACCGATTGCCATGTTACATACTGTATAATTAGACACAACTATGAAGGGTGCCAGTGATTCCAATGTAGAATGACGAGCGAATCATATGAACACAAGCGAGGAAATGGGCGATGAAAGTAAGGTACTGAGAATGGAACACCTCTTGAAATATAAGCTAAAAGAAGAAAATGTGCTGGACTACTGAACATTTTTTACAGCCTGCTGACGCTTAAACATGGATACACGAGGGTATAAAAAATGCAGAAAGACGTTCACAAATACCGACAAGATCAATGAAAGCACACTTAGAAGTGAACGGGAAGAACACCTATGGCGCGCTTCCTGCATCGTCCATTTTGAGGATAAATTGGTCGGAAACATGTGCCACCAAATCTACAGTCCTTATCACTGCAAGCGATAGGACGTGTGACAAGGCGTGCATTGA